TGCCAAAAAAGGACATCCTGAATGTGATCACAAGGAAATATTAGCCAAACCCAAACTGAGGCACATCCTACAAGATAATTGACCAGTTCTCATTGAAGGCAAAAGGAGAAGGGGGTGGCAGAGGATGACATGATTAGACAGCAGCACTGACTCAATGGATGTGAATTTGAGCACACTTTGGGAGATAGTGGAGGACAGAGGTGTCTGGCATGCTGCAGTCCATGGGGTCGTAAAGAGTCAGACACAAATTAGCGACTGAACAACAACAACAACAACTCATTAAAAATGGCAAGGTCATGCATCATGAAGAACTAAGACAGTATAAGGAATTATCCCAGAGTAAGAGTGTGTGACTCATGCCAGAAAAGGGCATTAATGGGACAATGGTGGAATCCAAATAGGTCTGTATCGATTCACATTCCCATATCAGTGTTTAGTTCCTGGTTTTGATTAATTGCACTGTGGTTATGTAACATGTTGACATTTAGGGAATATCAGTAAAGGGCCTATGGGAATTCTTTTTATTATTTTTGCAACATATTTTTAAGCCTAAATTTATTTCAAAATGAAAATGGAACAAGTAAGGCCCATGTGTTTCCTCCACCCCTCTCTTTCCTTTCCATGTTATTCTTGGAAACGATGCATTGAGGTGGGAGCATCATGAAATGGAAAAAGCCTGGATTCCCGAGTCAGTGGATAAAAAAGCTCCTTGCCAACCTAATGGTAACTCTACATGAGTGAGAAATACATTTTTGTTGTGCTAAGACCCTGAAATTTCCAGGAACATTGGTTACTGTACTATGACCTACATTATTTTGGTTAACGTAACTATGTGACAGCTAATGAGAATAACTGGTTCTATGGGCAGAGACATGGGCAGGTCACTAGAAATGTTACTGGTGAAGAAAACAGGAAGTTGGAAGGCAATAACTTCAGAATGACAGCTTTGATGTGGAAATAAAGTCTCCAACGTTCACTATAGATTCCACATGTTCATGAATGTGTATGTGTATGAGATGTGGACTAATATATGTGTATATTCTACAAGTGTATGATTGGGCATATAAAAGCCTAGAACAAGGTTGAAAAGAACACACAGTTAAAACAGTGGTCATTCCTGATTGGGGGGAGGGATAGGAGACTATAAGATGGGAAACTTCTATGCAATAATTTAAAGGTAATAATATACTCAGCGATCATTCTTACAATTAAAATTCACAATAAAAGGAGGCCATTAAGTTGTTGACCTCAACCAAGTGATGTGTCAACCTATGGCAAATATGTATTTTCATAGCAGACATCATTAGTCTGGTAGGGCCAGACTCTGCATTTATTGTGTAATGAAGTTGCATTTCCCTAGAGGATTAAGCCTCAGAGTCAGAGCAAGACAGAAACGGCATAAAGTTCATTACTTTAAAAATTTTCCTTAATTGTCCAAAAAGTATAGTGTACGTGGTTTCATATGTCCAGTCAACACAGTGATCTTTCAGACTTGAATGCTGAAGAATCATTGGGATGGGACTTCCCTGCTGGTCCAGTGGGTAAGAATTCACCAATGCAGAGGACATGGGTTTGATCCCTGGTCTGAGAAGATTCCACATGCCTTGGGGTAATTAAGCCCATACTCCACAACTATCAAGCCTGCGCGCCCTGAAGTCCATGCTCCACAACAAGAGAAGCCACCACAATGAGAAGCCTGCACACCACAGCCACAGAGTAACTCGAGCTCAGCAACAGAGACCCAGTGCAGCCAAAAAGAATAAGCCTAGAAGTAAAATTCTTGAAAAATCATCGAGCTAAAGAGAGAAACCAGACCAAATTCCAGGTGCAGACATCTAGGATAATGCCCTCCAAGTTAAGTACACAATCCCTATGAGCCAATGGCTGGAGAAACATCCGTATATGATTTCTAATCTAATATTTTGTGTCTCAAGTTTAAAGCATGCTAAACGATATGTCCAGTGTTGCAGAATTAAGTAAAATAATGAAGTTTCATCTTCCTGGTGTTCATTTCCAAAGATAGTCCTTAAATTAATTACAGCCCAATTTCATTTTATGAGGCTTTCTTTCATTTTTTAAAAAACTTTTATTGGAGCAGAGTTGATTTACAATGTTTTGTTAGTTTCAGGTGTATAGCAAACTGACTCAGTTATACATATACGTATATCCACTTTTTTTTTAGATTCTTTCCTGATATCGGTCACTGCAGAGTTTTGAGCAGAGTTCCCTGTGCTATACAGTTGGTCCTTATGTTAGTCATCTATTTTATATATAGTAGTGTGTATATAACAACCCCAACCTCCCAACTTATTCCTTAGTAACCAGGAGGCTTTCTCAACAGAGACTACATCTTGTCTGTAATCTTTCCATTTGGCTCTCCTCACAATGATCTGGAATAATTACAATTCTCTTATTTTCATTTTTTTCTTCCAGACTTTTTGTCTTAATCTGAACTACTGAACCCAGTCTGCCATCTCTCCCCGCCTTCCCTACCTGGAGGGGCCTATTTTTAAGAAACATATTCCTTACTTTTATACCAGCAGGTAGGCAACAGAAGAAGATGCTCAGTAAAACTTGGGGGCGTAGGCTACGAAGTTGGAACTCAAGATCTTTGCAGGGTTGATTTTGACTTGACTATTAAAGAGAGTCTGGTCTTCCCAGGTGGCTCAGTGGTGAAAGAATCTGCCTGCCGCTTCAGGAGAAGAAAGGGATGCAGATTTGATCCCTGGATCAGGAAGATCCTCTGGAGGAGGAAATGGCAACCTACTCCAGTATTCTTGCCTGAGGAATCCCATGGGCAGAGGAGTCTTGTGGGCTACAGTCCATAGGGTCACAAAAAGTCAGACACGACTAAGCATGCAAACGATTAAGATAGCCCATGGGCTGCAGAATCCCTTCCAGTGGCTCTCAGACTCCCTCTGGGGTCTTGTATCACTGGGAAGTGGGAGTTGGAGGGGCAAGAAGATCTTTGGGAGAAAGACTCAGGAATGGCTATGAGGTTATGGTAGAGCAATGATTTCTGGCCTGAGAAGTGGCTGGGAGGCTGGGGAAGGTCAAAGTAAGCATCACATCCGAGGCAGAAGGTGGAAGAGTTTGCTGCAGGGAATCAGAAAGACAGACTGAATGGGTTTGGAGAAGCCCAGGTGAGAAAATCAGAAGGTTAGGGGAGATGGAGGAAGAAACTAATATGATTCCACGGCACAGTCTGTGGTGGGGAGGAAGAAATGCAGCTGAGATGATTAGAGCATGCCTGTCACACAGTATGGGGTTTATAATTAGGACTGACTTATATACACAACCATGCGTAAAATAGATAGCTGTTGAGGATGTATATCACAGGGAGCTCATCTCGGTGCCCACTGGGAACCCAGCAGAGTGAGATGGTGGGGGGGAGAGAGGTCCAAGAGGGAGGAGATATATGTATACATATAGCTGATTCACTTTGTTGTACAGCAGAAACTCATACAACATTGTAAAGCAGTTACACTTCAAAAAAAGGAATGTAAATATGTCTAATTGAGCCACAACATTGTAAATCAGCTATGTGCATGCTCAGTTGCTCAGTCATGTCTGACTCTTTGTGATCCCATGGACTGTAGCCCGCCAAGCTCCTCTGTCCATGAGCTTTCCCAGGCAAAATTACTAGGTTGGCCATTTCCTCCTCCAGGGGATCCTCCCAACCCAAGGATCAAACCTGTGTCTCCTGCATCTCCTGCATTAGTAGGTAGATTCTTTACCACTCCATCACCTTGGGAGCCCCCAAATCAACTATACTTCAATCAAATTTTATAAAGAGATTTTATAGAGAGACATGGGAGAACATTAGTAAAGGACAAACTTATTTCTACTGGTGCTATTCACACTTTTTGTATGAGTCAGCAAAACAAACTCATTCTGATCAGTGACAGGAGAAACGATGCTTCCTCTCCCACTTCCCAAACATAGCCCTAATGTGGTCAGCAGAGCACACAACAAAAGAAATTCATCATCATCTTCCCCCCTAGCCTGCCTGAGCAAAGGAAATGATGATGCCTGGGCAGACAAAGCTCCTCATAAAAAGAGGGAGCTACCCACATACGCCTCTTATTGCCAGTCCAATCACACCCATGAGAGTGAATGAGGGTGATCCATCCTTTAAAGAGATTCTTTAGCTAGAGAAAGGCAGGGTTAATTACCAGAGGAAAAGGACCAGCAAGCACACTTCAACCTTATTCTTGAGCATCTCAGTTCCAGACTCAGATTTATAAACTTTACTTCTGGTTCCTTATAACCTGCACCACTTGTCCTTGATATAGACGAACATAGAAAAATGAAAGTAGAAACACTCAGAGAGTTCAGTTGGTATTACTGAGGATTAAAAAGACGTTATTTTTTATTTTATTTTATTTTATTTTTTTATTTTTATTTTTTTCAAAAAATGTTGCTAAGGGTTTTATTTCTAACAAGAGGAAAATAATAAAATAAAATTAAAATAGGCTTCAGTTGGAACCAAGTTTCTTGTTTTGCCTTTTTTCTTTTGAACAAATTAATTACACACCAACAATCTTCTTTTATTACAACATGAACCCAGGAGGAGGAAAGGAGACAGGGCAGGACATGGAGGGAAGGTCAAGGTGGTAATGAGGACAAGCACCAAAAGCTTTCTTCAGATCTCAGGGAGCCCTCCTCAGCTCCCCAACCAAATTTATTTAAAATAATAAACTGTGAGCACAGCTATGTGAAGTTTCCTCCTCCTGGGTGGAAGTCAGGGGAAGGGAGAAGGAGGTGAGGGGAGGGACGGAGGCAGGAGAAGGGGGGAGGAGGAAGAGTGAGAGGGGGAGGTGAGGTTAGTGTAGCATGGCCTGGCCAGGGCCACAACTGGGGAGAGAAGGGAGAGGAGATTCCCCCAGTTTGCATATGCACTGGCTGTCTCTCTGGAATGGTGCTGGCCCAGTCCCAGCCACCCCTCTGCCACCTGCCCATCCATCTATCTGCCTCAGGTGTCTAGGAATGCCGGTTAGAGGCTACCAGGGAGGGGGACTCCAGGGGCCAGCCCCCAGGAGCTGAGGTCTGAACAATACCTTGGAGTCAGAATGTAAAAGTCAAGGGACTCAGGGGTGGGCTGGGGTGGTCATCCCCCCTACTCGCCCACCTCCCAAGAAGCAGGCTTGATGGTCAGAAAGAGGATCCTTGAGGCCAAGGGGTCTCTGTTGGGGTCTGTGCTAGGCTCAGCCACTGTCACAGCTGTTGCTGAGGCGGCTGCTGTGAGCAGGGCACAGGGGAGTCAAAGTGGGAAAAGGGCCCGAGGAGCCTGAACTGGCCCCCAGTGCAGGCTCCAAGCCATTCTCCTGGGCGCTGGGGCTGTCAGTGGTGGGCAGGGGTGGGGGTGGGCCCTCACCACCAGTCTCCTCCTCCAGCTCCTCCTCCTCCTGGGCCTCCTCGGCCTCTGGCCCTGAGCTCCGTACCCTCTTTGGCTCTAGCTCCTCTCGGGCTGGGTCATCACCCTCCCCACCCCGATCTGCTTTCCGCCGCCGCCGCCTCTCCAGTGCCCGGCCCCGTGCTCGGCTCCCACGGCGCTCTGCCTTCTCCAGCTCCAGAAGTGTGCGGATCCGCTCCACGTCTGGAGGCTGCCCAGCCTGCAGCAGCTGCCAGATGCTCTGGTTCTCATCCAGGGTCACCTCAAGCAAGTCCCCCTCCAACATGAGCTCCTCTAGGGGGGCCCGGGTTGCCTCAGGCAGCTCCAACACAGGGCCAGTCAACTGTGGCAACAGCGAGGACAGCAGCTCCAGGTCTGAGCCCTCCCCCGGGGCTACCTTCTCAGGACTGGTCATGCTGTCTCCATTCTCTAGCAACCCCTGCACCTTAGGCATATCCTTGCCACTGCCTTCTCTGAGAGGGTCAGAGGCAGGGGCTGAAGGGTAGGTAGGGGGCTCCTCGGGCCTGGGTTCAGCCTGCAGCCGCTGGCGAAGCTCAGCCAGCCGTCCCAACAGAGCAGTCACATCCTCAGAGGCCAGAGCCTGCCTTGCACGGCCTTGCCAGCTGATGGCCCTCTCTGTGAGGCACTGTAGGGCCTCACCCTCAGGCAGCCGCACAGGCAGTCTCTGCAGTGCTACCAGCAGTGCCAAGATGGTCTCCAGGCGTGGGCGCCGTGAGCGCATGCACAGCGGACACAAGAATTTGGTGTCCCACTCCCACCAGGCCAGCAGTGGGGATGGGGTGGGACTGGGCCTTAGGGAACTGAGGAGGCGGGGTACCGACACACATCGCCCATGGAACCAGTCCTGACACNATGACACACTTTGGACACCGCCAGACACCCTTGGGAATCTCAGGCAAAGGAGGCAACAAGCAGAAGATGTGGTAGTTGTCATCACAGCCATCACACAGCAGGAGCTTGTCATCTTCATCCCCTCGGGAACACATTCGGCACACATATGACTCAATAAACTGGGCATTGCTGTGGTTCCTCCTGAGCCTCATGGTCATCTTGGTGCAGGGCTCTGGGCTGTGACTCAGCTCCTCCTTGCTCTCCAGGAAGGTCTTGGGTGAGGTTGACTCCACCTTCATGTCCCCGCCTGACTCCTCCTTCACCACTACAGTAGGGGAACACTCGGGCCCTTCCTTAGCTTTCTTCCGCAGAGTCTTATCCTTGGCCATGAGGCCTAGGCCCATCATCTTGGGGCCTGCCCCATAGATCTGAAGCTTCTTTAGCTCAGGATTCTTTTCAATGTCTTCCTCTGTGGGTTCCGGATCAGGCTGCAGTCTCTTGGCTCGCCGACCATAGCTGTTGAACTTGGAGGGCTGCACAGACTGTCGAAGGGGGATACTGTGAGGTTTATATTCCTTGTCTTTCTCCTCATTATCAAATGGACGTGTGTTGCACTGCACCAGGTTGGCTCCAGACTGGTACATCTCATAGGGGTAAACGATGCGTTCATAGTGGGAGCGCAGCAGGGAGCCAATGTTTTTGCCTGGTGGGTAGTTGAGGCGCTGGGCCACCCGAGCCCATCGACGGTCCTTGCAGATGGCTTCATAGCCACCTTCCTCCACCACGATCTGTAAGGACAAGCAGGAAGGGACGTGATTTGCTATGTGTAGATATAGAAAGAACAATGAGGACAACTCCAGCCCCTTACTTCACTGGAGGCTACCCCCTCCTACCTCCACCACTTAGACTCAAAGTGTAGCCAAGGGATGCCAAGTTCTGATGACAGCTTGTGTGCTACCAGGCTGTGCCCCTTCCACTGTAGCCTAGAGATCCAATAACCAAACCAAGGTGGCCCCCAGAATACCGAGGATATTAAGGCGTGGGGTGGGGAGGGGTTTGAGAAAAACCTGTTCTTACTTTGCTGAGGCTGTAGAGGTCCAAGATCCGCCGTTCTACATTGGGAATCTTTAAGGAAGAGCCCTGGATTTCCCAGAATTTGGCAATCTGATCCAAGTAGTTCAGTTTCACTCTCGTCTGGGCCTGGAGAAGAAATGGCTCAGAGAGGCTGGCCTCCCCCTCTACCTGACCATCTTCTGGCCTAATCTTAGGGCAGGAGAAGGGATACAGAGCAGCCCACTTCATCTACAGAGCAGCAGGCCTCTCCCAGTAAACTGGATCCTCAACTCTAGGTAGCACCTCACCAACCCCTGTTATCTTTGCTACCTTCCAGTCAACAGGAGAAGCCCAAGGTCCCAAAACAGAGCAGGCTGAGTCACAACAGCCAAGCTTTACATATATTCTTTCTCAGTCTCCTTGACAGGGCTGTGTCATCACCTCTTACAGAGCCTCTGCTTCCTCAAGTCACACAGCAGGTACCAAGAAATCTGAGTGTCAAATAAGTTTTTGCTCTTCTGCGAATAATCTGCTGTATAGTCTTGAGTAAATCACTTCTACTCTCTGGACCCCTGTTTTCTGATTAGGAGGGAGATAAAATAACTGCCTAGTCCACTCACCCCAGAAGAGTAGACTTATGAGAGGAACAGTGAATGCCCTTTGGAAACTACAGAATTATATCTAAACTCTAGGCATGTTTCAGAGAATGAAGCCTCCAAAAGAGAACATTCACCTCTTCACATGCACCATGAAATTTGTTCCATGGTGGTCAAAGGGTGAGAGTGCATGCTAAAGACAAAATGGCCTAAAGAACTGAGATGGTGTACCAAAGCAGCACTGGCACCCAACCTAATCAGGACCCAATGTGGGGAAAAGATCCTAGGAACAAGGCATGTGCCATGCGTTCCTGAAATCTGTGATCCAAGAAGGGCACCCCAAGTCTATAACTACCTCACCCTAGTCAGAGGGCCTAGTTTTAGGGAGAACTAGGTTAAGTCCTTACCATTCATTACCTTGCTCTGATCCCATTAGGGGGAAACAGGGACAGTTCTTTCATAGATGAGGAAAAGTAAAGTTTATCCACAGAAAGGAATATCCTATGGCTCCCTTGCTATAAGAATCCCTAAGGGGCCAGGAACCCTAACCCTTCCACTTCAACCCCTTAGCTTTCCAACCTTGGCCTCATGCCTGCCCCCCACCCCCCCATTAGCCAGCTCTCTCTCTAGAAAACCTGCCCCTATCCTATGGTAGGCTACACCTTGCCCTACCTATACAACAGCAGACCTGGTCAGATCCATTTCTCTAAGGAACTTGTATCACATACAAAAGATGATTTTTCCCTGACCAGAAGAGTACCTGGACTGACTCTAGAACAGTGATTCTCAATAAGTGGCAATTTTGCCTTCCAGAGGACATTTTTTTTTTCAGAGGACATTTAAGTAATGTCTAGAGACATTTTTTGGTTGCCATAACTGGGAGAGGGTAATATGTTCCAGTATCTAATGGGCTGACAAGACATCCTACAATGCATAGGACAGCCCTCCATGACAATAAATTACCTGGCCCAAATTGTCAACAGTGCCAAGGCTGAGGATCTGCAGTCTAGAAGACAAGTAACCTTTTAGGTTACAGGTATCTGGTTGGGCCTAATAGTCAGCCCCATACCCTTAGACACCTATTAAGGTTTGAAAATACATAAAAATGAGAGAGAAGAGTATAGCATACTTCTAATCTACATCTTCCAAGGGAAACTCCAGAATTTTACTTGGAACTGGCTTAAGGGCATCTACTCTCATTGCTCTAGGGCATTCTCAAGTCTTTCATGGAGAACCTCACCTTATCCAGGCGAAGGGCCTAGATTTCCTGTACAGAACAAAAGGGAGAGGGAAAAGCCTACTTGCCTGACCTTCTGTCCAGGTTTGTAACCATTCCAGCTTCCACAGAGACCAGTTCTTTTGTCGTTCCTGCCCATCCACCTCACCTCCCACTTTACCAAGCACCATGGAAGGAAGGTAGGAAGCACAGGGCTGTAGATGGATTGGACAGATGAGGATATATTCAGCTGGCCAAGCAAGAAAGGGTCTCAGTTAGCCCCATATTTCTCTTTTGATGACCTAAGTAGGGTGGGTTGGTTGACAGGGGAGTTTCAGAAGTACCAAATGTTTGTGGGAAAAGCACAATCCCCAGCCTTGGGGTTATCAGATCTGGGAGACTAAAAGCCCTTGCTCTGCTTTATATTCAGAGCTCTAAAGCTTCTCCATGCCCTCCAGGCAACTTCACAGAAGATAGAATAAAGGCCTAATTAGGTAAAGTACCTCAGCCAGAGAAGGTAGGAGGGAAGTAGGATCAGAGCTCAGGTATCCATTCTCCCAATCCCACCACCAGCTGTTGGTCTTCTTACCTCTAGTTCATTCAGCCTCTGGATTCGGGGAGTAAACCTGAAGTTGTCCACTTCAACAGCAAAGGGTGGCTGCCAGTCCTGAGTGGGTAAGGAGGAGAAAGGGAGTTGGGTTATTCCAGCATAGTACAAGACCAGTCTGGGCACCAAAAGCAACTCAGCACCCCATTCACGGCTTCCCAGACCTCTAGCCACCCCAGAACTTTTAACCTGGCAAACACCCAATCCATACAAACACAACTCACAACAGAGCTTTAGAAGTGCCTCAAGTCCATACTCAACATCCCATGCACATACCCTGGGAAATGTCTCCTGATTCCCTCCCAACAGTACAGTGGTACAATTTTAAGAAATAGAAAAATGAGGTCCAAAACAGCTGACTTAAAACTCTCCCTATGCACATATCCCTTAGGCATGTGCTGTACTGGAAAGCATACAGGATCTGAAGTCAGAAGACGTGGGTTCACATTTTAGCTCTACTACTTACTAGTTACGGGATTTTTACCTTTCTGAATCTGTTTCCTTAACTGTAAGGTGGCAATATGAACTCTTGCCCTGGTTTCCTCATAAGACTGATATGAAAAATTAAACTGGTTTTCTTTTCAAAGGAATCATCATTAAGACTTGACATCTAAGAGTGACCTCACTACCCAATACATATGCAGAGTAGCTCAGCTCCAATTTGGGCTATTTCAAGGTTTGGGCCTTTAATGTTTGTTCTCTCAGTGAGATAGACACTGCAGGGAAGAGCAAGGAGCAAGAATTTGCAATACTCACCTGGTCAGAAAGGCTTCCTATGTGTCCTCTCTCAAACACCTGCCCAGTACCAGGAAGAGGCAGGGGAAGAAGTAGGAAGGAGGGAGGGGTGTCCTAAGTGCTGAAATGTACCACTGACTGTGGTAGCAAAGATTGGGAGGATTCGGGGAGGAGGAGAGAAGTTAGGAAAGATAACAAAAGTAGAGGAGACTGATCTGCCAAGTTGGAGCTTGTTGTGTCCTGCCCAAAGGGCAGCTGTGAAGAACCTCCTCCCCAATGCTCCTTCCTCCCTCCACCCTCCCAGCAGTCCTTCTTAGAACCTTGGCTCCTGCTGGGATGGTGAAAAGAACCTGGAGTAACCTACACCAGTGCCTTCATTTAACCAATGGGGAAAATGAGGCCCAGAAAAGAAATGTGATTTCTCCAAAATAACATGCTGAGTTACTGGTAGAGCCAAGACCAGAACCCCTGTCTTCTGACCTCTGGTCCAAGGCTCTTTACACTACACCAGGATACCAGTATTCACCCACACATGCATACACATGGGAAAGGGGAGGGGCAGTTAAAAAGAAGAAAAAGCTGCTGGCCTCTTCTGTACACACACTTTTAGAAAAGGGGCCAGAGGACTCATACTTACATGCATACATAATCCCCATCCCCACCCCCTGCAAAGCAGGTAGCAAACACATGGGACTCAATAAAGTAGGGGCAAAAACAAACAAAACTAACAACAAAAAAGCTCAAACTAAAAAGATATGGCTCAAGTCCAGACAGGCTCCCCATGCTCCCTTGCCTCCCATCAGTAGGGCATTCCCCTCAGCGCAGGTAACCCAGGTAGGAAGGTGCTCAAACCCAGAACTCCAGGCACCCTTCTTTCCTCCTAAATCAAGTTCGAGATAAGAATAAGTGCAACATCAAGCAACCTGACAATGGCAGAACTGAAATCCTAGAGCAAAAGCTGTACATACAACAGATAGCTAAGGAAGGTTCAGTGGTCTCCCCTGCCTGGCTCTCCCTGGGACCTACAAGCTCCCTCATCCTGCCTTCAGTCCCATATTCTCATGTGTCAAATACTCGGTATGTCAGTATTGGCAGGATGGTGATAAAATGGTTGGCCACCTGAAGCAGGAAGCAAGGCCCTTCCAAGCTCCCCTGGGTGAGTATACCAACACTCTCCTTGCACTCATCTTCTTCAAGAGTGGCAGCCACTCGCCTAGCAACTCAGAATCCAAATTACCCTTCCCCTGCCCTTCCTTAGGCAAACCTCCAATTTCCAAGCACCCACCCCTATAAACGTTCCAACTCTGGGCCCAAGCACCACTTGGGTGAGTGCTTTAAATTCCAGCCAGAAGTCCCGCTAGGAGGGACATCTAAAGGAGGCCTAGGAGCAGCTCTACAGGAGGGGAAAACCGAACAAAACCAGAGAGAGCCAGATCTCCTGGGTTAGAGGGAAGTACAGTATTGGGGTAGGGAAGAGAAGCCTAACAAAGGAAGGCCCCCTGCAGGACACGGACACACGGACACACACACACACACACACACACACACGACATGTCACCATGTCACATTTCCTACTCCTGGTGTCCCAAGGAAGGGTAACAATACCTGCACAACGCTAGTCTGCCCTGAGAAGTCCAAGACAGAAAAACAGGATAGAAAATTCAAGGCTCAACTACCTCTTATGTCAGATATGCCTCTTTCCCACAGGCCTGCCAAGTCACTTCAGGGAATGCCTCCCTGAGGCTGCCCAGGACTCCAGCTTCTCCTTTCTGCTGGCCTTTCTGACCTCTCACTACCCACTGCCACTCCCCAACCATGGACAAGGATACCTCAGAGATATGTGGCCAGGCTCCAATAAGGAAGAAATCAGCTTACCCAACACCTCCCAAAGGATCCATTTGAAACCAGCCTAGATCTATGGCTGAGCACCAGAAAGCACCAAGTTAAATAAGGAGGCCTGTGATGCCCTCCTCAGGTGGCAGCGAGGTTTCTCATTTGGTTTCAGCCAGGAGACACCCGTTCAAAAACAGCCAAACTCAATTCCTGCCCTTTGAATCCCAAGTGGTGACTGAACAACATATATCATCATTTCCCTTTGATGCTAGCAAGGTGGCAGCGTATCCTAGCGCTTGGGGGACTTCTCCTGGCCTAAAGCCAGGCCTAGGAGTAAAGATACACCGCCCTTTGTCGCTGACCTCTGGGAATCAAGGGTTCCAAAGGAGGCATACTTCCATCCATCCAACCATTCTGTTTCTGAGAGTTCAAGAATATCCTATCATCTGGCACCTCCTACATCCTGGGACAGATCAGAGGAGAAATCTGAGAAGGACTCATACCCAACCCCAAGCTGACTGGTCCAAGACTCTTTATAGAAGTCAAGCCTGGGTAGTGATGGGCAGAAAAGGCCCAGATATTGCCTTCAACTAGGAAAAGAGGACAATTCGCTGAACCCATCTCAGGGGTGCCAGACAGAGCATTCCCTGTGAAACTGATTTCCTGACTGGTCTACCAGACCAGAATATTATCATAAATGTATTGGCCTGGCAGGCTATGAGTAAATATGAGTCAACCCACATAGAAGCAAACCAATGACCACATCAAACACTTTCGCAGTCACAATAATTACCACTTACCTAGTGCCTACTACACACAGACGCTACCTAGTTTAATCCAATTCTCGAAATAACCATTCAGGGAACCCATTTCACAGGCTCAGAGAAATCACGTTACTTGACCAAGGTCACACAGCTGGTAAACTGCAGAGTGGAGTTCTGAAGGTCTAACTCCCTTCAGAGCTGTGATCTTTACATTACACCACACTGCCTTAAGAGAAGTGATGCCAGTAAATGGGAAAAAAGACCTTTAGAGCAGCCTTGACCTAGGTAGTTCGGGGTAACCAAGAGATGTTTGGAGTGCCTCTCTGTGAACTGTCCCCGGGGCCACTAGGCATCCCTTTCTTGAATCTTACTAAGAGTGATTCTGAAGGGCGGAGTGGGAGTGGGTCTCCGACTTAGGGCCAAAACGAAAGACCCCTTGCCCCCAGCACCCTTTCTCCGACCCGCGCCGCATCCACAGCAGTGCCAGCCATCCCATCTCCCCACACCTCGAGCTGCCCTCTGATCTGGACCTCTCCGCCCGCTACCCTAGTTCTTCATCCCCAGCGACCACCGGCCCAGGGCCTTACCGCGGGTGGGCGGATCTTGCAAATGCCAGACTTCTCGGCGATGGGCCTGATTCTCGCAATGTAGCCAAGAGGGTCTCGGAACTCCGCCCAGCTAGGCTCGAACACCGGGCACTCCGGCGGCGGTAGGAAGTCGTCAGACCCCGGCTCCATGGTGCGCCCTAGGACTGGAGGGCTCGGACCGCCCTTAAGGACTCATGGCGGACGCCGCTGTACGAAGCCGAGGCACTGCCCGGAGACTAGGCCCTAAGCGGGGCGGCCGCCGCCCGCTGAGGGCCCAGGGGACGTGTAGCTGCCGCGATCTGAGAGGTTCAGGCTGACGCTACTCTATCGCCTCTTCGCCCCGATCCGTTCGTTCCAAACTCTGCCGCTGCCTCCCAACTACCGCAGCCTTCACCACCACAGTTACCTCCCAACCGCCGCGGCCTTTAGTGCCGCCGCCGCCATCTTGGTTTCTCACCGTCTCCCCCCCTCCCTTCACCACAACAAACCGGATCCCTCCGCGGGATGTCCCTCTGAGCCTCGCATGCCTTGCGTGAGGCCAAGCCCTAGGAAGCCATCATCCCGTGGGGACTGAGCTGAATCGGCAGGCGTGGATCCCCTATCAGGAAGCGGGAACTTAAAACTGCTTCCCAGACTGAGAGCAAATAGTCCGCCTCAGCGGCGGAGGAACAAAGTTGAAATTAGCAAACCGATCCCTCTTTCCGGACGGACCGGCGGTGCACGTTTAAAGGCCAGTGCTGCGCATGCGCGTTACGGAGGGAGACCGGAAGAGGAGTTGGCGTTGGTAGGTGGTGGGTCTGAACTGGCACCCACTCGATGACCTCAACTCTGGCGCGAGCCCCGCCCCAACATGCTCTCCTCCCGGGTCTTTCCGGTGTGGGCCACAGAAGGCGGCTTCGTGTCCGTGATTGCAAGGGACCTTTCTGCAGGCCCGCAGATTATGAGAGACATACATAGCTCACAGGTCTAGGCTCTGACACCTCTGGGGCTTTGAAAAAAGGAAGCCGGGATGCTGCTCCCTTCTCGAGGATTGCGGATTTTTAGAACCCTGGGCCCCAAGGAGAGGAAGGAAATATTTATTTTGTCCAAGTTTTCGTGTAGAGGCTTCCATCCTTAACTCCAAAGAGTTATTGTCAGTCAGCATTTTAATGAACACTTTTATCGTGTCCTTATTTGTGGCATGTGGGCTTCCCTTGTGACTCAACTGGTAAAGAATCCGCCTACAGTGCGGGAGACTTGGGTTTGATCCCTGGGTTAGGAAGATCCCCTGGAGAAGGGAAAGGATACCCACTCCAGTATTCTGGCCTAGAGAATTCCATGGATTGTATAGTCCATGGGGTCGCAAAGAGTTGGACACGACTGAGTGACTTCCACTTTCATTTGTGGCATGTACCCCTACAAAATAAGCCTGAGAGTATGTATATTTTAACTATCGGATTTTAACAACAGCATATATATCGCCTACCAGTGCCCACCATTTGAAGTACCTACTCTGTGCCCACTTGTGAGCCTACAGTGTACTTATGTATTTGTGTGCATGGATTGTATTTATTGTGTATAGCCCCCTTCTTATATTTGAGTATCTACCATGTGTACCTCTGCTCCTATTGTGTGCATGTTTGTAAGCAGTTTCTGAATAGGTGTATTGCAACTGCTTTGACTAGCAAACCAATACTTTGCCCATAGATCAGGCATCTACTGCATTTGAGGAGCTCTAAGTTACTCATCAGTTGTGGGCCTAACGCATAAATAGTTCAAAAACCTACTGTGCACATTTTAGAATACTTCTCTACATGCTGATTGGGCTTACCTGATAGCTCAGTTGGTAAAGAATCCGCCTGCAATGAAGGAGACCCTGGTTGGATTCCTGGTCAGGAAGATCCCCTGGAGAAGGGATAGGCTACCCACTCCAGTATTCTTGGGCTTCCCTGGTGGCTCAGCTGGTAAAGAATCCACCTGCAGTGTGGAAGACCTGGGTTCGGATCCCTGGGTTGGGAAGATCCCCTGGAGAAGGGAAAGGCTACCCACTCTTGTATTGGGCCTGGAGAATTCCATGGTCCATGGGGTTGCAAAGAGTGGGACATGACTGAGCAACTTTCACTTTCACTACATGCTGCTTAAGTGCTTATTTTGTGTTCCTCTATCAGACTGTGAATTCCTTAAAGGCAGGGACCTTGTGATCTTATACATCCTTAGCACCTGGCATGGTAAGCAGTAAATAAATGCTGAGTAAACAGAAAAATGAATATATTTTTGAGCAGCCTTAATATATATTCACTAAAAATAATATATACTCTTGGCAAACATTTCCTGGATATATTAAGCATCTGCTGTAAGCTTGAGTATGTTTGAAGGGGATGGAGAGTGTCATTCCTTCAGTTAACAGTTTCTAATCACATACCCGGAGAAGGCAATGGCACCCCACTCCAGTACCGTGGCCTGGAAAATCCCATGGATGGAGGAGCCTGGTAGGCTGTAGTCCATGGGTTCGCTAAGAGTCGGACACAACTGAGCGACTTCACTTTCACTTTTCCTTTCATGCATTGGAGAAGGAAATGGCAGCCCACTCCAGTGTTCTTGCCTGGAGAATCCCAGGGACAGGGGAGCCTGATGGGCTGCCATCTATGGGGTTGCACAGAGTCGGACACGACTGAAGTGACTTAGCAGCAGCAGCAGCAATCACATACCATGTCCCAGTTAAGTATATTCATTCTGCCTGCTGAGCTAAGGGCATCCTCTCTAAGGGAGTGGGGAACACTGGTAGGACCTCACACCCTGTAGTCAGAGAGGCCTAACTTCTAGTCCCACCAGCTCTGCCAATTTCTAGTTATGTGGCCTTAGGTAAGTCCCAGGTTCTGAAACAGTGATGTTGTATGGGGATGATAATACCTACCTTGAAGGATTGTTGTATACTACCTAGCATATAGAAGGCCCTCAGTATCTGTTAACTGTTATTTTCACTCCTGAGAGTCAACAAACAGTATGTCAAAACTCATTAAGAATCTCCTTTGTGCCAGGCACTGTGCCTAGTGATTTCAGATTTTTTATCACTTGAACACTTAGAAGTTTGCCTTGAATGCTTGGAATCTTTATCCCCTACTTGCCTTGTGAGGAAACTTGTCCCAAGTAATACATATAGTAAGTGACATCTCCTTTCTAGCTTTCTAGGTATCAGGGAAACCTCAACCCTTCTCCACCAGAAACACAGGTGAGTGACCCAGCTAGACAACTGTATGGACAGGAAACAAAGCTAGGCAAGGTAATGCTAATAACAGTTAAAAAAAAATCACTAGTCTCTTACATGTGTAAGCATTTAACAGCCCACATAGCTCTTTCATACCAATTACTTCCCTTAATCTTTGCAACAGTCTTGGGAAAGATGTAGATCAATTTACCCAACCTGTAGATGAGGAACCAAGTTCCAGACAGATTAAACAACTTGCCCATTGTTACACAGGAAGTTGCTGACTCTTGGTCAAATGTTCTTGTCATTTGCTCCCACCATAGTAGAACTAGGCAGGAGAAGGTGACGAGAACAAAGAAGATAAAAGAATATGCCAAATCCTAGGTTGAAAGAAGTTCGACCTTTCTATCTTGAGGCTGCTCAGTGAAGGGCAAAGAGCATAAATTAGGAGTCAGGAGACCAGGTTTGGGGTCTCAGCTCAGCCTACCCTTCCCAAAGTCTTCTCTAAGGTTCTTAGCCTAGACACCACCCACCATCCTGGAAGGGCAAATGGAAACTGCATAGACTCTTTGAAGCCCAGTCAGTCCCAATTCATTCATTCATGAACACTTATCAAATTCCTACTATGCACCAGGTACTTTTCTGGGCCCTGGGAATATAATGGTCTGCTTTCCTGCAGCTGACATTCACCCACTGAGATCTACCATGTACCTCACCTCCCTGAACCTCGATTTTCTCATTTGTCCAATGAGACTATATAATCCCTTCCACACAGGGTGGTTATGAAGATTAGAGATCATGATAACTGCCATTGCTCAAAAGCCAGGTACTATGAAATAGGTATTGTTATCCCTATATAACAGATGAGGAGGTTGAAATTCAGAGTAGTGTAAACTTAACCCAGTTACATGGCTAGTAAGTAGCAGAGTAGAAACTGTTCAAGTCTGTCTGACTGCTATGCAATTCTGCCTGTAAAAGTCTCAAATGGTGCCCCTCGCAAAACAGGTGCTCAGGAAATGGGATCCTTTCTCAATCTTTGGATCTTGCTTGGGACCAGCCTGAGTCTGGGCCCTGCAGGGTTAAGAACTGAGAAGTGGCAGGGAGCTCACCTTGAACTGGGGGTTGGGTTGGCCTCAACCATGCACCTGGGAGAGAGGGTCTGGCATGGAACTGGTACAGAGCAGTGATTGGAATGCTTGGCTCTGCTCTTGACCACACTCACTCCATCCATGTTTTCTGGATGAACTGCATAGTGACTTTGTGCATCACTTTCTTGATTTTAAAACAGGGTCCCTTCCAATTCTAAAGTAGGTATGAGCTACAAGTTCTAAATCCTAAGTAGCTCTGAAATTTATCCCCTCTTCCCCATGCCTTTTTCTAATCTTCTACTCCCCAAGAGAGCCATTGACTGTTTCTATCCTAGGTTATTAAAAGAGCCTCCTTAAGATATCAAGGTCTCTGTGTGAGTTCGTGGAGATTTATAGATAGATAGGTAGATAGAGAGGGAGATGTATATTATGTGCTCAATATATATGCATAACAATAAAAATGATATTCAAAACAATGATAATCCCAAATGAATTATGATAATAGTGGTTTATAACTCGAGTAAAATAAAAATCCATGACTCCATACTGATATAAATAAATAAAATGAGGGAAAAGGAAAAACTTTTCCTTCAAAGAATGATGGAGTTAGAAAATCATCAATAGATGCTCAAAGTTTTCCCAAATAAAAAAGCAAATCCTGAAAACAAAGCTATTAATATAACACCTAGTGCCCAAATCTTGGTTTCTAAATGCCATTCTCAACCAAAAAGAACCAGAGCTCCTTGAAAAAAGTGGTTGATTCCAAGACTGGGTCAGGGAAAATATGAGTCTGAAGCATCTTGTGGTACCAGAAAATAAGGAAGTGCTCAGGAAAGATGGAGAGCTGTCAAAAGGACACAGGAGTCGTCTTCCTGCAAGCTAAATATGGGACATTTTGAACATCGAGATAAAGAATGACATTAATGTGTTACAACTCACCGAAATTATAGACAACCATGAGTCCATGAGACTATAGATACATAAATGTAGGAAAAGGGAAAGCTCTCCCTTACACTGGAGAGCCAACTAATAGAAGTTCAAAGAATGATGGCATTGGACAGTCGCCATTTGGCCACCTCAAGAATCATCAGTGAATGCTAAAACTGGTGGGTGAAAGTTTGAGGAGTAACAAGACAAATACATAATGTTAATGCATCTCCCTTCAATATAATCATTCATTATTTACAAAGGGAAAAATAATAGCTTTATAACAGAGATGCTATGTAGCCCAACATGTCACCTGGTCTTTCTTTAGCTCCCAAGACCTGGGTGAGAAAATCTGTTGGTAACAGAGGAATGAGGATATGGGGACTGCCCACCTCTCCTTTGGGATGTGCCATGCCCACCACCTGGGCTGTCCTCTCCCATTCCTTTCTCATTATTCCACTAACATTAACATACTTGCACACCTCCAGGCATATGCTGCTCCCTCTGGCA